ACTTGTGAAACACAGTCATAAGTATGGCGCAGATTCCCAGACCGACCAGATACTACAGAGTTGATACAAATACAGCGAAAGGCATGATACCTTTGGACTGACTCAGACCTGACTCGGACTGCAATCGAACTGTCTCAGACCTGACTCGGACTGCAATCATACACGGACGAAAGGGGGAGAGGAGAGAGACGAAGGAGGAGGAGAGGGGAGATGATGTCAACTCGATATTTCCAAAGATAGTAACTTGAACTGTCAGAAGTGACGAAAATCCGAAATGTCGTGAATACCAAGTCTCACAATCTCCCAGATGTCGATCTCACAATGTCAAGTACATCTCCGAAGGAGAGATGGAATCAGATCCCGAAATAGTCCTCAACTCGTACTCTCAATGTTGCTGTCTCAGATGTCATCCGAAATCGTAACCATCTCCATTACCGTAGTAGTAGTCCTGTAGGAGGAGTAGACTTAGACTGAGAAGGTGGGGAGAGAGAGAGAGAGAGAGAGAGAGAGAGAGAGAGAGCTGAGGCAGAGGAACAGAGGGAGAGAAGGCAGAGCCTTCCTCCCGGTACCTGCTGGTAGCTATGGCGCGGCTGGGCCGCTGCGCTGTTCCTCTCGCCGCTGCGCCGCTGTCTCCTGGCCGCTCTCGCTGCTGCATCGCTGCGCTAATCTGCTTAACGCTTGGCTGCTCCGCTAATCCTACAGACTAACTCGTACATACTAACTTACTATTGAGGCTGGTACCCAGCCTTCTGTAGTGTTGGGCCGGCCTCTTTGCCTATTGGTGCCTACCGGCGTGGACCGTTGATCTGAATCGACGGTCCAGATTCAAACTGGGTTTGGCGCCAAATGTGGCAGCCTCTGAAACGCCGCCGGTTGGTCCTGGGCTGGACCGGTACCGGCCTCTTGTGGAGAGCAGATTAACCGAGCACCCATTTTTCAGGCCCATTTATAAGAAAACAAGACAGTCACTTTAACAACACTTCACACCAATCTATAGAGTGCACTTCTTACGACTCCATCACAGAAAAAAACCCTAAAAAAAACAATTAAAAACCAGATGCCCCGTTAACCTCTTGTGGGCTGTTTGGGACTATCGTGCCCTACCTCAGGCCTATTTGGTCTTAGCTTGAACCGTCGTCCCCCTAGGCCTACCCTGCCTACTGGGAACCGGGCCCTAACTGGGGCCCGTGTGGCTTAGTATGCCACACACTCCCCCCCTTGAAAGACCGAGCTAACTGCGAGGGCGAAACTGTCTGTCCGATGTCCGTACAGGGCGGGCAGGTTGGGCAGCTTCCTTAGCAAGTCGCTATTTTTCGTAATGCGCGAAGATGAGGGGTGCTGCCACCTTCAGATCAGCTCTTGAGATCCAGCGTGTGTCGTTCCGATCGCATTGCTTGAATGTAACTTTGTACTGCATCGGCTTGTTGCCATGCTTGCGATGAGTGAGAACGCGGTCGACCTCCTGATGGCCATTCATTGAAGGAGGGTCCTGTAACCGTCTGCCCGGGAAGTCCGCTGCGGAGGCTAGAGTGTAAACTGCCAGCTTTGAGGTGTGAAAGATCGGGTGGACCGTCAAATGCGGGGGAATCTCAACGATGAATGATGGGCCCAAGGGGTCGTCTCCAGCTGTTGAAGTGACCATCCATGGTCCAATCCACTTCGGGAGGAGCTTGAGCGAGACGTCCTGCTCGAGCGTGAAGTCCTCGGAGGCGACCCAGACTAGGTCGCTAGCGCGAATTGGACATGGGATGCGACGCCGGTTCACTTGCTGCTGCATACGGACCTGGGCCTTTTGCATGTTTGCGCGGGCTTTGGCCAGCAGTTCCCTGTACTTCCGTGTAGAAGCGGGGGAGCAAGTGGCGTCTATATCGGCAGCCCGTGGAAGCAAAATGTCTGCGAAGATACGTCCTTTCCGTCCACCGTGGTGCAACTCGAATGGAGTCACGCCAATCGCCGGGTGCACTGAAGTGTTGTAGGCGAACTCGATGTCGGGAAGGCGGTCAACCCAGTCCTTCTGATCCGGGCGGATGAGTGTGCGGAGCATCATCTGCGCAGTCTGATGCGCACGTTCCGTTTGCCCATCTGTTTGAGGATGCCGTGCGGAGCTCGGTTTCATGCTGGTGCCGGATTCCACCATGAGTGTCGTCCAAAAGGCCGACATGAAACGAGTGTCGCGGTCACTGACGATGTCTTCCGGAACGCCGTGGCCGCAAAACCAGCCGGTATGCAAAAGTCGTGCGAGCTCTGGAGCCGTCGCATGGAAGAAATCGAGCGGACCGGTCACATCCATAGCAATGGAGAGACCCGGTGCCCGAGGAATCGGCAATGGTTTCAGTTCGCCGTACGGGAGCTGATGGCGCCCTTTGTTCCGGTGGCAAACTGCACATGACTGAATGTACCGGTTGACGTCGCTAATGATGTCCGGCCAGTGGAATCGCTGGCGAAGTCGTGCGAGTGTGCGTGCGACGCCAAGGTGTCCCGCCAGCCGCGAATAATGGTATTCGCCAAGGAGGCGAGTGCGCAAGATGCGGTCTTGGGGAACACACAACAAGTCCTTGCCTCGCGTATGGAGGAGAAAGTAGCCGTCGGTGATGCGATAGTTGCTTGCCGGCGGTTGGTCCGATGATAAGTCCGCGTAGAGTGTGGAGAATCCAGGATCCGACTTGTAGCCATTTACGAAATGCTGTTGGAGGTCCTCGTCGAGGCCGAAAGTGGAATGCACCATGGCGCAAAGATCGGGTCTTCGCGAGAGAGCATCCGCCGCCTTGTTCGAGGAGCCCGAAACGTGCTTGGAGGTGAAGTCGAACTGGTCAATGAAATACATCCACCGACCAATCGTGCTGCTCACCGTGTCTTGCGTCTTGTAATATGTCAACGGATTGTTGTTCGTTGCCCACGTGAATCGCCGACGCCCGAGGAGAAAGTGACGCCAACGCTTAAGTACGGAGACAAAAGCTAGGAGTTCCTTCTTCCTCGCATCATCAAGAGTGTTGATGGGTGGCACCTTTTGGCTGAAATACTCAACCGGATGCCAGTCTGTGCCGTCATGCTGTTCCAAAACCGCGCCAATGCCGTAACCGGAAGCGTCCATAGTCACTTTGGTAGGCAACGTCGGGTCATAGATGCTTAGGACGGGAGCTTGAAGCAAAGCCGTCTTTAGCGTGTGAAACGCATGCCGGGCCTCGTCGCTGAACTCGAAAGGCACCAAGGGGGACTGAAGTCGTGACAATGGTGCAGCGATGCTTGAAATCCTTTGACGAAGCGCATGTAGTACGATGCCACGCCTTGGTAGCAGCCTCTCTCACATCCGGGGACACCGCGGCAGTCACAAGTTCTCGCGTTGAGTACGAGAACTATGCTGTCGAGCTGGTCCCACCGTTGAACCAGCCTCTCCACGTGCAAGATTCAAGCGCATGCGCGGCAGTTCCGCCGTCGGACAATGAACCGGTGGCTTCGCCAGCCATCTTATCGGAGGTTTTGTCAACTTGGGCGAGACTTGAGGATCTCGACCCGTTGACGGTTGAGGACTTCCAATGGTTGCCTCTGCCCTCCACCGGTTCTTTGCCAACTCCGCATTGCAATGCCTTAATGGCACATCTACGCGAATACTTGCACGCTGCAGTACCACCTCCGTCGACGGACGGCGGAGTAGCGGTTGTTGACCTTTGCAATTTTCTTGCGAAGATCGACCGCGAGTACGCAATGCAACGGTACGTCGACACCGACGCACCGCTCCTTTACATCCGCATTCAGATCGGAAAGGCGACCCGCAGTGCCTTGATCGATTGTGGAGCGACTCGCAACTACATCAGCTAAGACTTCATGGCACGCGCCGGGCTAGGCCCGCGCGTTCAAAGGAAAAGTCAGCCTACGCACGTCACGTTGGCCGATGGTCACACACAAAAGTCAATCGACCGATGCGTTGACTCGGTGCCCGTGTACTTCACCCCGCTAGCAAGCGAGGCCGTGTCCTTCGACATATTGGACACCAAGTTCGATATGATCCTAGGCATGTCATGGCTGCAAAGCGAAGACCATCCGGTGAACTTCCATCGCCGCACCGTTCACGTTCGTGATCGACATGGCGAACTAGTCCCGTGTACGGTGCCGCTTCCTCATCCTTCGATTGGTTGTCACGTGGTATCCGCGGCGAGCATTCGCCAATCCATCCGGCGAAACGACATCGAGGAGATGGGCATATGTTTTCTTCACGCCCTCCCACCCGGTGATCAGCCCAAATTGAGCTGTTGGACAGCTATGGGGATGTCTTTCAAGCTCCCGCCGGAGTCATACCGGATCGGCCCATACGTCACGGGATCACTCTCGAGGACGGCGCCGTACCTCCGCGCGGATGTATCTACCGCATGAGCGAAGAGGAACTTCAAGTGCTTCGAGCACAACGAGACGCCCTCTTGGCCAAGGGCTGGATTCGCCCTAGCTGCTCGCCATACGGTGCTCCCGTTCTCTTCGTCCGGAAGAAGAACAAGGACCTTCGGTTGTGCATCGACTATCGTAAACTCAACGCACAAACGATCAAGAACGCCGGCCCTCTCCCTCGGATCGATGATCTTCTCGAGCGACTCGACGGCGCCAAGTACTTCTCCAAGCTAGATCTCAAGTCCGGTTATCACCAGATCGAGATTCAGCCAAGAGATCGGTACAAGACCGCATTCAAGACGCGGTATGGGCACTTTGAGTGGATCGTCATGCCTTTCGGTCTCACCAATGCCCCGGCTACTTTCCAAGCGGCTATGACGACGGAATTCCGCGACTTGCTCGACCTCTCCGTACTCATTTACCTCGATGACATCTTGGTTTATAGTCGGTCGCTGGACGAGCATCTCGAGCACCTTCGCGCCGTATTGGAGCGGCTTCGTATCGCCAAGTACAAGGCAAACCGCGACAAGTGCGAGTTTGCAGAGCAAGAGCTGGAGTACTTGGGCCATTACGTCACGCCGCAAGGCATTCGTCCGCTCGCGGACAAGTTACAAGCTATTCAAGATTGGTCGGACCTCAAGTGTACTACCGACGTCCGCTCCTTTCTCGGGACTGGGAAGTGTTGTCGCTGCACTTCCCGCGGTGCTCAGTTTCCCGAGCCAGGACGCTTGACATTTTCTTTGTCCTTGTCGAGGCATGCACTGGTGATGTGCTTGGTGCTATTGCACCACAAACAACATCCCCATTTCTGTCGCAACTTGAACATGTCCTTGGTAATCCCGAACTTCGCCCATGGTGCCTGTCGTGCTCCATCCGCCGACGCTGGTTTCGCCTTCTGTTTTCCCCCTCGGGGTTTTGAGCGTTGCGGTGGTATTGCTGCCGCCACATCTTTGTCACTTGATGTCGAAGCGGCTGCGTAGTCCTCACTTGGTCCTTGCTGGACTGCTGCTACTTGCGGCGTCTGTTGACCTTTTCCTTTCTCCACGTAACCGGGCTGCTGACGAGTCCCGTTAGCCGCACGCCGGTTACCTTGTATAAGCTCTCTGGCTTTGGCGATCAAAGTTCTTATACTCGTATTCGCTGCCGAGAGCAGCAGTCAAGGCGTCGCAGGATCGGGCGAAGAATTCACCTCAGATCGAGTTGACCGGTAGGTTCAACTCCGGGGTGGCAACGAGTCTTTGCCACTCCGTCAGCCATTCCCGCGAAGGTTGCTGGCCTTGGAAGATGTGGAATATCTTGTTCAAGGCGTGACGCTTGTCATTGTCCACCATGAACCGGGTCTTCCATTTCTTCTCAAACTCCTCCCACGTGATCTTCGTGTGGAGGGTGGCGATGGTACACTCAAGCGTCGCGGCCATGTGTGTCATGAATGCTTGCGCTCCGCCTATAAGTTGGAGGTATAATGCATCCAGTCGCCGTAGGGGCGGAGTATGATGCACGTCGGCCTCTGCGTTGAATGCCATCCACCATTGCAGCGGATCGGTCTTGTGATAGTCGTCAAACTTCTCAATTTTGAAGTTCGGCATCTTCCATTCTTTGGCGACGGCGACCGGACGTTGGTCAACGCGGTCGCTGAGCGTCTGCAGCTGATTGCTGACTGTAGAGGCTCCTGCAAACTTGCTGATGTCGCCCAGGGATGCGACTAAATGATTGACCCGCTCTTCCAATTGCTTTGCCTGTGCGGTCAAAGCTGGGCTGCAGTCGACTGCTGCACTGCCCGTTGACGCAGCTGCTGACAGTTGTGCCAACCTGTTGCTGACATCTGCCTGCAGTTGGTGGTTGAGTGTCTGCTATTGGCTGTTGGCGGCATGTAGTGTCCTGTTCTCGGCCTGCAGCGACGTGATCCTGTTATCCATTGCCTTGAGTGTTGTTTCATGGCGGATGAGGACCTGTCGCGTGGCGAGCAGTTCGCGTTGCTGCCAATTGCATGTGTACAACAGATTCTCCATCAGAACTGCTATTCCTTCTTTATCTGCTTCCTCCGTGGTTGGCTCTTGCCGTTCTTCAGTTTCGTGGAAATGTTGTCGGCGAAGTAGCCTGCCATAGGTGGCTTCATCGCGAGTCAGATCCATAGTGGCTTGGTAACGAGCCTGGTTCTGATCTGCCTCGACCTGCTGCTGTTGCAACCGTGCGGCTGCCGCAGCTTCTGCTGCGGCCTGCTGACGTGCTGCCTCTGCCTCTGCCAGCTGGCGTTGAATCTCCTGCTGGCGGGCGGCTTCCTCTTCTTCCCACTTGCGTTGTTCAGCGGCCGTCGTCTCGGAATACTTCTGGAGACGGTCCAGGAACGCTAGGAGCGGTTCATCGGCCTGCTGAACTGGGAGAGGAGGTGGAACCGGCCTCTTGGGGCTGGTTGGTGCATTCTTGTCAGAGGTAGCAGCCATGGTCGTGCGTCGCTTGCGCGGGATTCGCGATGCCTTGAGTCCTGGTTGGGGCTTGGCTGCCTTGGACTCGCGTTCTGCCAGTTGTAGGCTGCGGCGCATTTAGTGTCCGGCTGCACGTTGCTGTTGACGTGGCACTCTGCTGACGTGGCACTATACTGACGTGGCACTCTGCTGACGTGGCACTTGCGTGTCCCTCTGTTGATGTGTCACTGTGCTGACCTGTCACGCTGCTGATGTGGCACCTCTGCTGACGTGTCCAGAGACAGCAGTTTGTAGGACCGAGAGGAGAAGAGAAGGTTGGGTGGGGAGGAGGGGTAGAGAGGCACACAATGCACAGACAGTCCTGTGTCCCCTGACCTCGAAGTCTGGTGCTAATCAAAGGAAAAAAAAAATTCCCCCCCCCCGAACGAATTTTCGAATTTCGGGAAATTAAAAAAAAAAAGGAATTAATAAAATTTAATTTTGGCAAAAAGATTTAATACCTGATTAACAAAATATTTAACTTTGCAAGGTTTATTTCACAAAGGTTAAATATGTAATCGAAATATTTTAGATTTGCATCAATAAAAGAAATGAATAAGTTTAAGCAAGTTTAAACATTAAGACATAACTTTGAAAATTTCATGAAATTTCGTCGGAAGTTTTAGCATCATCACGAGGTCACTCATATAGTAGAAATGATAGTTAGCAGGAAGATATACAATTCGCTGAAAAGATTCAATCTTTCGATCGCAAAAAGATGCAATTTGCAAAAAGTGAAAGTTTCGTGAAGGTGCAGTTCGCATATGGCCTAGCTCAGGCCCGATCAGCCTTGCTTGGCGCAGTGCCTGGCTGGCACTTACTCTCGATAGGTTAGGTAGGTCGTTTAGATTAGGTTAGGACTGACCCTAATTAGCGCTAATTAGGTTTTACCTCGTAATTAGGAATTCCTAACTGCATGATTCGGGAAAAGTCGCAAAACCTAAATTTTCGATTAGGACTAACCCTAATTAGTGCTAATTAGGTTTACCCGTAATTGGTAATTCCTAATTGCGCAAGATTGAGAAAAGTCGCAAAACCGAAATTTGAACATCCTAATCCTATGAAAATGCACGAAAAGAAAAAAAAATTGCAACTTGCTATTTAAATGATAACAGAGTGCAGGAAAAGATAATTAATTAATCAATCAATCAATCAATCAATTAATGGTGAGTCATCCAATACTGGTCTACTCCGATACCAAACTATTGCATACTTGTGAAACATAGTCATAAGTATGGCGCAGATTCCCAGAACCGACCAGATAATACAGAGTTGATACAAATACAGCGGAAGGCATGATACCTTTGGACTGACTCAGACCTGACTCGGACTGCAATCGAACAACTCTCATACATTCATCAGGTGTGAATGCCCTGGCCTTGAGAAGAGACGAAGGGCCAGGGGCTGGAATCATACACGGACGAAAGGGGGAGAGGAGAGAGACGAAGGAGGAGGAGAGGGGAGATGATGTCAACTCAATATTTCCAAAGATAGTAACTTGAACTGTCAGAAGTGACGAAAATCCGAAATGTTGTGAATACCAAGTCTCACAATCTCCCAGATGTCGATCTCACAATGTCAAGTACATCTCCGAAGGAGAGATGGAATCAGATCCCGAAATAGTCCTCATCTCGTACTCTCAATGTCGCTGTCTCATATGTCATCTGAAATCGTAACCGTCTCCATTACCGTAGTAGTAGTCCTGTAGGAGGAGTAGACTTAGACTGAGAAGGTGGGGAGAGAGAGAGAGAGAGAGAGAGAGAGAGAGAGAGAGAGCCGAGGCAGAGGAATAGAGGGAGAGAAGGCAGAGCCTTCCTCCCGGTACCTGCTGGTCGCTATGGCGCGGCTGGGCCGCTGCGCTGTTCCTCTTGCCGCTGCGCCGCTGTCTCCTGGCCGCTCTCGCTGCTGCAGCGCTGCACTAATCTGCTTAACGCTTGGCTGCTCCGCTAATCCTCCAGACTAACTCATACATACTAACTTACTACTGAGGCTGGTACCCACCCTTTTGTAGTGTTGGGCCGGCCTCTTTGCCTATTGGTGCCTACCGGCCTGGACCGTTGATCTGAATCGACGATCCAGATTCAAACTGGGTTTGGCGCCAAATGTGGCAGCCTCTGAAACGCCGCCGGTTGGTCCTGGGCTGGACCGGTACCGGCCTCTGGCCGTTTGGGCCTATCGTGCCCTCCCTCAGGCCTATTTGGTCTTAGCTTGAGCCGTCGTCCCCCTAGGCCTACCCTTCCTACTGGGAACCGGGCCCTAATTGGGGCCCGTGTGGCTTAGTATGCCACACACACCACCCACACACAAACGCCGCACCCACCCACCCACCACTTACCCACCCACCCACCCAC